TTTTTTTTTCCAATTAATAGGAAATTTGCAATGTTGAGAATTCAGGAGTCCAATTAAGTCTACTTTATGTAGTCATATAGTCTACAGATACTCTTAAGGCATATCTACTATGCTGCTGTTAATATTTTGATTATTGCTTAGATTATAAGCCCCACTGATACTACCACCTATTGTCTAATGATTGACTTTGGGGAGTGATGGTGCAACTTGAGGATGTATTTAATTGAGACTTTTGAAGGCTTTGATGGTCTTTTTTTAAGTTATGATTTTTATGAATTTCGTGAATCTTTTATAGTTTTGTATGGAATTAGTGGAAACTTTTCATAGATTTTTATCAATTTTCATTTTAAAATTTTAGAAATTTTGTGAAATTTAAAAGACTTTTGACAATTTTCGTTTGAAATAGAATTCACGTGGATCTGGTATGAAATTCTCACATACGAGGTATTAGTTCCCATAATTTCCCTTTTTCATTCCCTTTTTTCCCGTATAATTAAAAAATTTTGAAAAAATAAAAATTTAAAACCTTAATTAAATAAATAATAATCAAAATTTTACATATATATATGATTCAATATTATTAGTATAGTATACTTTTAAAAATAAATAATTTAAATTTAATTATAAATTTTTCATATAAAATTTTATAATTTGATAAAAAAAATAGATATTTTTCACAAAAAATGAATGATAAAAAAAATTAAAAGAATCCAATTTAATTTTTTCATAGAAATTATAGATAAATAATAAGAGAGAGAAAGAAAGATAAATAGAATATAATCAATAGAAAAAAAATAAATTTTAATCATACATGTCCATAGATGATTAAAGGAAAGAAAGATTGAAAAAATAAAAAAAAATTCTTTTGTAAAAGTCTCCCAAAATTTCGTGATTAATAAGAGACAAATTTTAAGATGTTATATGAGTACTTTCTACTTAAAAAAGTTAGTACTTCAAAAAATTTTAAAAAAGTCTCTAGAAGTCATTAAGCCCCTGTTTGTCATCCATTCTCTCCCATTCTTTTCCATTCTTTTTTTACAGTACTCGTTTTCAACCATACATTCTTCATTAAAATGATATTATACGTAAATCAAAAAATTTTTCTTCTTTTTTAACCACACATTTCAACATCAATCACTATTCCATAATACATTGTTTGCAAATAATGGGTGACAAACATACCCTAAAATTTGAATACCCAAAAACTTATAGAAACTTCTAAAAAATTTTAATTGAATACATTATAACTTTTAGAGACTTTTTAAAAGTCTATAAAAATCACAATTGAATAAATCGTGACTTTTAGAGAGTTTCAAAAAGTCTCAATTTAATATCCCTAAAAGTTATTAAAAGTCTCAATTAAATACATTCTCTTAAGATACACCACAGCTACTAGGGTTGACAAAGGTTAGAGAAAGGTGAACCATGACTAACATGTATCAATGGAGTTAGAAATTATATAATAAATTTTTGTTTGGGGATCCCATTTTATTTATGATGCATCGAGTTCAACAGTTGACTCTACTATGTATTTTCATGGTCATGACTTCAAAAATGTTAACAAACATGTATAGATTTGTAAGTGAGCTTGGATTAGGGTGCATATGATCTCCCTTGTAATTAGCGCAGAGCATTTTCAAAGGTGTTCCTTTTGTATTTTACTGTTCAATTGTAAACTTGAAAGGTGTACATGTAAAGAAATTGTTTGAGTACCTAAGCATATGCTGTAAAAGAATCAACCTTTAGCTTTTGTTATTGCTTTGAAATCAATGATTTTATCATTTCTCGAAGTATAAAATATTTTGTTTTTATGTTTAAATTCAAAACCCCACTTTTTATATTGTTGATAGGTTGAAGAAAGAGTTTGACAGAAAGGGCAAAATATTTAGAAGTCGAAAACAGGATCAGTCCTTGCTTTCAAAGTCAGCTTTAGAGAGTAATGCACCTCTTAGACATATAGACAGATACATATTCGCTGCCCCTATCCGTTTCTCTCATTTCAGTACCTAAATTAGCACTAAACTCTCCAAAACTCCTTTATGCACTATTATTCTTTTGCCTTTCTTGTTAATCAGAGCTGTTATTCGTGTGATCGTGAATAAATAGAGGTCGTAGCTGCATCTACAAAATAGTGTTTTCTTATATTTATCCTGGTGTTTTGACTTTCATTTCCTAGAGTTTTTGTTCTTTGCTTATGGCTGTGAAGTTAGGGACTGATGGACAAATACCTTGACTTTTAATTCTCCTTCATTCTTGTATTACGTATATAAACTGTGTATGTTTCATAGGTTAATCTAATTAATTTTTAGTACTTTGGTCCATGGCTCTCATTTGTTTGATTGTCAGGAAACTTTTTATGGGATTTGCGTTTGCAGTTGAAAAATTAAATTGTCACTCTTTTACTTCAATGCTTTCATATTCCCCTTGCATGTAGATTGCCAAGATACTGAAATGCCGACCACGCGTTGAAGGGAATTTAAGGAGAGATCATAGAGTGCCTCTCTTCATCCAGATTGTTCAAAGATTCAAATTCTGGAACTTTCACGAAAATGCTATCAAGGAGATCATATAATTGTGCTTTTTGGTAGAGCTTTTTGTCATAATCCAAAATGAAATAATATTTATTTTCTTAATCGACTAGGAAATTTCATGCTTGGGATTAGTGATTGGTTGACTGGTATGTTAATGACGTTGCTATGCAGTTGGGGTAAAAAAATTGTTATGCTTTATTGCATACAAATATTTAGCATTCGATAAATCAATATTTGACACAATTGAACAACAGTAACATTGCACCTATCCACATATTTTCACATTTATGCTATTACATAGTCAATTATACCGTGTCACGTGTCTTACACGTGCATCTCACTAATAATTGTTTAAAATGCTCAATTCACTTCTTATTTATACATTTTGAAAAAATCACAAGTACTGTCCACTTACCTATTATTCATTCCCATCTATTTATAATTTAAGCAATTTATAAACACTTTTCAAAACCTTTTGAACGTGTGCTCGTAGAGGATCCAACAATAAGTTTCTAGAATTATTTTTGGGTATAGTTTCAATTATTTTAAAAAGGAACAAGTACAGTTAATCCAGCAATTCAATCTCAATGGTTAATCTCGTATTTTGAGTGTTGGGTGTTCAAGCGCCTCAACCACTCGTTAATTGAAGGCTGTGAAAGCACACGAAGTCCATGATCTCTCATCTAAATCTCACCTTAAAGTTTGTGAATTTAGTACAATTAAAAGTATCTTCAAGAGACTCTATTTTTAAATAATATATTTTATTATTTGGAGAACATATATAAATTTAAAGAGCTAAAATTTTAAAATATTTCAACAAACTCTTTATATTTAACACTTTATTTTACTACTTCAAAAAGATATTTATTATTTTTCTCTATCTTTTATTTTAACTAATTTTTCTTTAAATTATTTTATCATTTTTTATACATTGAAAATTGAAACGCTTTGAATATATCCAGCCCTCCTTTGACCCCCATTTTGTGGAGACGAAAATGATTTGAATAATATATTTTTTTTAAAAATGAGTGATTCATAAAGGAGAATTTTTCGATTTACATGTAACATTATTTTATAAAAGATTGTATAATTAAAATTAGGAGAGAGAAAAATAAAATGTAATGAAATAAAAATTAATGGAGGTCAAAAGGGGGTTAAGTTTTGCTCTCTAAATTTAAAGATAATTTAGAAAGTCAAACACACTCTAAATTAAGATGATAATTTAAAGAACCTCTAGAAATGTAATTTTAAAGGTTGACTCTTCAAAATAGAAAGGATCACACATGTATAAAGAATCTCTTGAAAATGTTTTAACCATATTAAATTACAACCACATATCCATTAATCTTAGATTCTCAACTTGACATAAATATCTGAATAAAAAATTATAATTTAAAAATAAATGATTATTAAATAACAGCAGCAAGAACTGCCTTACCTCATATAATTTTGTGTGACAAACAATTAGAAGGCACAGACCTAAAATGTACAACTTCACATTTTGTAAACAATACTTGAAAACATAATAGAACAAGATTCATATTTTTATTTATATTTTCTTTTATGTTACCCAACCTACGTTAACATGTCACAAGAGTCTCATGAGCTTGGGAAATTATACATACATCCTAGAGAGAGGTAGCCACAAAGGACAGTAATCCAAGCCCACAAGACTAAGCCATGTTTGTTACATTGGAGAGAACGAGATTTTAATTTCTTTCTACAATATTGTCTGGTATCTCCATCTATGTTACCAAACATGTCATAAAAATCAAGAAACTTATGCATACATCTCAAAGAAAGGCAGCGAGAAAATAACTACCAAATGGACTATTCCCCAAAAGAAGAAACTGTGCCGCTGTTAGTGTCCCTCGAATTTGAAATCAACTTGGACAACATACCGCATTCTAATCTGATCCACATTGTATACTATGTACTCGTTGTACAACAAACTACCCTGCAAGGGACAATCAAATGCAACTTTGATACCTGATCCGATTTTGAAAGTAAATCACATAAACATATCTAATAGAAACTACTTAACTGCAAATCAATATTTGTAAGTGAAAATTAAATGCAGTACCTCTTGCCCAGGTTGCTTTTTCGGCTCTCCAAGGGGAACGAGCAACCCATCTTCAAGCAATTCAGCATTTGAAAATTCTGGAGCCGTGGCGCCAACTCCTTTAGTGCTGAACATTGAATGTGAGACGATAAATATATTTTTCCATGCAAGTTTGTTTTATACCTTAAAATGCAAAAGAAGAAGATGAACTACTTCATAGTAATGAAGCAAAACGTAGCATCAATCTATGATTTTATATAAGCTGGGTACTAAAAGAATGGTAAGCTTAAATTACTACTCTTTTTTATAATCATTTTCAAGTAAAAACAGAAAAAAAATAAAAAAATAAAAAAAGGGAGAATCATTTTATTTTATCTTACCATCAAAATGAGTTACTTATTTCCAACTCTTACCAATAAATATGTTATTTACTCTTTAAAGTTACAAGTTTACTTGCAAGTAAACATTTTTAGATTAGTCAGACACACACTCTATAATGTAAAAATAAACACAAATGACTGACCTAAGCTTCCCCTCAGGCAATTTGTCAGCATTATAATTTGCTACTAGCAATTCAGCCATGTCTCCCAAAGCAACCTACAAAGTGAACGGGTTAAGAATAAGCCTTTGTCTGGCACATCTTATTTGTAAAATCATTTTTCCTCAGACTCATATTAAAAACACATAAATTTTCCCTACTTTTAACCGCACAATCTCCAAAAAATCCATTTTTCACTACAAATTTCTCCCCCAAACAAACACCAAAGAAGATCACTTGGGGGACAAACGTATTTTGTCCTTTATATCCAATGTAAAAATATGTTGCTCCGTGAAGAGAAAATTTGTACTTGGAAAGGACGATATCACATTAGTTACAATTGCAAAAAGGATAAAGAAAAGAACATAAAGCACCTCACATAAAAGGAGCACACCAGATGCGGCAGTAGGACTTGAATAGCAATAATTAGCACTTTTCGAGAACATATCAGCAAAATAAACACCTTTCCCAAACATGTAACCTGTTACTGGTGCTTCCGGAGGAGCAATGCGCAAACCTGGCATTTTTTCATAACTCGCACCTAGTCAGATAATGAGTGAATAATTGGCAGAAAAAAGTTGCAGTTGAAGAAAAAAGTTAACCTTGGGACAAAATTCCAGTCCAGTTTGTGAGCCGAGAACCATGCCACAGAAGCATTCTATTTTTGGTTTTAGAGAACTGCTCATAGGAGAGGAGAGCTCATGTCAGGATTAAAACAGCACTGATCCATGGTAAGATTGTAAGAGAAGAAGATATTTATATAGGGCAAAACAACTACCATAAAGTCCAGAGAGAAAAAAGTCTCCTACTGGGGATGTTTACCTTTTCAAAACGTTCAGTTTCACCCTCTCTTGACACCTTAAATACTTGAACAATATTAACAGTATAATTTGAATGCGTCTTCGCATGAGTATTCTTCATGTACTTCTCAATCTGAGACATAGAAATGTTTTTTAGGGTCTGAGAAAAGAGTGTGGTGATGAGTAGCACAGAGATAAAAGGTATGAAATATTCTATAATTTCAGGGTTAGCCAGCTGCTAGAAAAGAAAAAAAGGAAGGCATACCATATAAAATTCCCTCGAACCAACTTCAAGTGGCACCAATTCACAATGAAGCCGTTGATAATGAGAATACAATGGATCCTACATACCAGTGAAGGAAAATTTTCAAAATGTGGCTCGCAGAGATATAGACAAAGCACTCATTTTAAGCAAATATATGTTATCACAAGGTCACATGCCCAAAGCCGAATTAACTAATTAAAATGAATTGGTAATACCTTTTTGGTCAGCATTCAATGAAAAATAAAATTATTATAGCAGAAAGGTATGATGACCCCTTGGAAGGATCCACGGAAGTTCAATCTGGAGGCAGAACTTCAAAAATTCGGTGTTTGATTGCACTTTCAGAAAGAGTCCAGAAAAGGAAACTACCCAAACTTCTGAAGAAGTTGTCAGAGTGCCTTTATGAACCATTCCTCAGGAAAACAAATTTCATGGAAGACAATATTTTCACTTGAATACACTTACAAACTTGGCATTTTTAAAAGATTAAGAATTAAGAATCCCTTATCCGAAAATCATCAGCAACGAGTATCTGATATAATCTTTTGTCTATTCAGGCTCAATTTAACTTAAATTTTCTTCACTTCTTAATTTGACAATTCAGAATGAAGTCACATTAACAGCTAAAACTTTGAAGCACCTGAGTAATTAGCTTCCTTTTATGAAGGTTGGATAATTTATATCCATGAAAATAGGCACAGGATCAATGTGATAGGTAGTTCCTTGGACCGTTCACAGAAATAGAATAGCGAAAAAGGATCCATATACCCCACGTCAAGCATATTTGGAAGAAATATTATCCCGTTGTTGGGATCAATATGATCGCTTGTTTAGTGCATTCCTCTTTTGTATTTGCTAGTATGCCAGAAAATTTGAATACCATTACTCTTAAGTGATATATAGGAGAAGCTATAAGAAAAGCTTCTCCAAAACATTCACAAATCCAAGAGTAACTAATTGGTAGCTCACCAAAGCGCTCATGTGACTTGAAAAAAAATAATAATAATAAAAAAAATACCCTTCTTTCAGGTATAGTGCATTTGCTAGGTACATTCTGCTTGAATATTTCCATTTGTTTTTCTAATAGCATAGTGCAGCAGGATTTTCATAGCAACTAAAATACAACATTTGAGCTAATGTCTGTTTTCCTAGGGAATTGAATTTACTCAATCCAGAGAAGAAGAATTGAATTTACTCAATCCAGAGAAGGAGACTTGGATAGAGTCATAGAACATACCTTCATTTCAATATCATCCACCAACAACTTTGTTGCAAGCTCAATTTCACCAAGTGCTTCAACCTTTCAAATTTTTGCAAGCATTAGAAACTATAATTAGTAAATTCAACTCAGCAAAGCCTTGTTTGGTTTAGATAAAAATCATATTTTTAATATATTTTGATAAAAGTTGATAGAATTTGTGGTTAAAAAGTTGCGGGTCAAATGTGTGGTTAAAAGTAATTGTTGACTTTGACTAAGATTTTAGTCCACTTTTGTAGCTGAACCAAATAGGAATAGGGCTTCGTATATTTTAAAGTTAAATGAAACTGAAAAGAGGCATGGCATTTAAAGTAAATGAGGGTGGCTTTTGATGATAGCGTACTCAATGATGTACCACATCAGTTACTAATAACCACCAGCCACAGCCTCCTAGTAAAGAAGAATGAAAACCTCGCAGATGATAGAAAAAACTAGTACATCCAAGCATAAATGCAAGTGACTACAAGAAAAAGATGTAGCTAATGAATTGGAAAATAAATTACCATTTCCAGTTTGCTTTTCAACTTTTGGGGAGTATCGATGATAAACTGACCTGTCATCATACACATCATTGAGCCAATTACAAGTGCAACAAAAGCAACACAAAGATTCCCCCAATGAAATGAAGAAAATCATTAGCCTATTCCTTATTAGAGAAAAAAATCAACAGCTGCAACGCTTTAAAAGGGCTAACTGATGAGTAGGCACAAAATAAGCCTCCAAGGCAATGCAAGAAAGAAAAGAACTTACTCATTTTTCTAAAACCAAAATCATGAGGAATTACAGTGTAAAATTCCCTGAAATTGAAACAGTAATAACAGATTAGAATATAAGGACTCTCAAGTAGAACAAATTTATCAACTGAGTAAAGTAAAATAGACTTTAAGGAAATTTTCACTTTAATTGAACCAGATGAGGATTAAATGGCATATGTTGAATCAATATGTATGCACGTGAACTCAAGAAAAATCCTATTTTCTATATTGGTTGGCTAAAATTGAGTACTATTTGGTTTGTGAGTCATAAGCAATTATATCATTCAAAAATTGCATCTTATTTTGATTGGTCAAAATAAAGATTAAAATGAGTTGTAATTTTAGATAATGAAGCATCATCATGTTTGTTCTTTTAGGTGATTCAACAGGTTGCTTAAAGTAATTGATGGCCAATTAAATTGCATGAGTAAGCTTCAAATTTTGATCATCGATATTTTAATTGCCTATGTTATCAATTGTGGTATCAACCGATTTTTAGTTGCATGCTCTTGATTTTTGTTAATTGACCGAACCAATTTATTTATTGATATGAGCTTTTAAGCAGGGCGGTTTCTCAAGGAAAAGCATTGGAGGGTCAGAAGAAATCATCTAAGAAAAGTTGTGGACTAGACTAAGTAGTTCATGTTCCAAAACACAATTGAGGTCCGAACACAAATTCAAGAATGACATAAGGCCAAGGCCAGTGGTCATGGCTCCGTGTGGCTAAGAAAAGTAATCAGTGATTGATTTAATTTTTCTTTTAAATCCAGTTCTATTTCCGTAGAAATTATAGTGTTGGTTATTTATTTTGTATTTTCAAATTGAATTGTGTTTTGAGCTATTCTAGTAGATTTCTTTCTAGCCTGGAGGCTGGTGGATTTTCCCTTGTTGTGGGGGTTTTACCTCCTAAAATAAATCCATGTTATTGTCCTTTATTTACTGCTTTAGCACGTTGCACGTGCACAATAAATTCCGTAGTGATTGACAATTTCTTGGCAATTGGAATGGTGCTCGAACTTTAGAATTTAAACTATCAGAACCTTGGTCGAATTGTGAATAATGAACTCTTAGAACATTTGTCAAATTGTGAAATTGAGACTCTGTTAAACATCAATCAAACTGAAGATGGTGAAATCGACCGTGACTATTTAATTGCATGTTTTATGTCATAGAATTTGAAATTGACATCATAAGTCTAGAATTAACAAACTGGCTAAAGAGTTAATGTCATAGAGTTTGAAATTAATCACAAACTGGCAAAAGTGTTTAAGTTCTATAATAGAAATGCACAGCATATCACCTTAATGGGAGAATTGGAAACGAACCAACTGAATGCTTACCCACTTAATTGCTCAAGCATTTTCCTATCTGACTTGCTGATCACGTCAGCAATCCTTTTCAAGACATCATAACCCTACACGTGTGCAAGTTAAAGCAGCAGGAATTATGAGGTTTAAACAATTGAAAAAGAGAGAATGGGCAAATTATGAAGCAAGTTTTAATGAGATGTGATGAGAGAGAAAAGTACATTTAGCATCATAAAATTTATTATGGTCCTGCGCGGAAGCTTGTGTTCATGTTGATTTCTTAAAACAATTCTTAGAAAGTCAAGTCATTGTTCATAATAAGAATTAACTGCAGCACAATATTCTTGATAAAAACTTGTACATCTAACATGAACTTTTGATCAGAAATTGTTCATAATAAGAATTAACTGCAGCACAATATTCTTGATAAAAACTTGTACATCTAACATGAACTTTTGATCATTTCTGACTTCAAACATCTGCAAAGCCAGGACTGGGAAATAACATCTAATATCAAAAGTGGAAAATACCCACCATTGTGATATTGGATAGGTCATAATTAAGTAGCTACTGCCTCCATTCACAGAACATTCAATCCATAAACAATTAAATGCAGTAAAAATGCAAATAGAACTGCAAGAATAGCTTAAAACCCACATCTTACCTTCAAAATTGTTGATTTGCTTAGTTTTCCCAATGGCAATTTCTCAGCATTGTATCCTATTACAAGATAAAACAAAAATTATAAGGGTTTAATCACTGAAAATTTTTTAAGATTAGAATAAAAGTTATCACATCCAAAATTAGTGATTTTGTAGTCTAGAAGTTACATAACCATCTTTTTGGACATTAAAGGTGCATAAACTTGGTGTCTAACTGGCGTGACTTGAGTTCTAAATGTTTAGATTCAAAAACATGGACACAGAACATGAAGCTTCAGATCACAGTAGGAATAGCAAAAGAAATGGGAGAGAGAGTTGAAGAAATTGCAAAAGTAGATGTTAATGGACAAAAGGCTGAGGACATCTAAGAAGACATGCCGTTTATTATACGAAATAAAAACCAAAACATTATGTACAAACCTATTTCCATCATTTGTTGCTTCATCATGCTGATATTGCAAATAAGAGATATAAACTTTGCAATGCAAGCCTCCAGCTTTGATTCTTGAGGTTCAACTTTCATTGTAGGTTTATGCTCTTCTTGAACCTGGAAATCATTGTCAAGGCCTTATATCCATAACTACAGGTGAAAGAATGGACAAACTCTAAGCCCCCGTTTGGCCCCCATTTTCTGAAAATGAAAATGGGTGAAATAATAATTTTTTTGAAAAATGAGTGGTTAAAAAAGAAAGAAAAGTTTTCGATTTGCGTGTAATATTATTTTATGGAAGATCGTGTGTTTGAAAATAGGAGAGAGAAAAATGGAATGTAATGTAATAGAATTTAATGGGGACCAAATAGGGGCTAAATGAGATATAATAGATATTTATCATTTTCTCTTCATTCATTATATTTGAAACATCCCTGCACTGTTTTTTTTTTTTTTTTTTTTTTTTTTTTTTTTAATTGCGCGTCCATCCAAATTTTGCATCAGTCAGAAAATTGAATAAGAGAAAGGTCCAACTCTATGCATATAAATATTTTTCACACTTAAAACATTAACTTACGGAATTAAGCACGTGATTGAGTTCTAGGTGGCTAGGGCGGGGTATTAGTATATCTAACACAAAATTTAAATGTGAAAGTAATTGATCGAACACTACTAGCAAACGTCTCTTCTGCTCAAAAACGAAATGGTCCAAATGTTCCTAACCCCATTCGTCTAAAAATTCATTTTTTTCAAACCTCATTTTCAATCACATATTCTTCAATAAGGAAAAGTTTTTGATTTGTGTGTAATATTATTTTAAAGAAGAATATGTGTTTGAAAAGAAGAGAGAGAAAGATGTATTTTAGGAAAAATGGGAATCAAACACATCCTTAATTTTTAACCACACATTTTTCATCAATCTATTATTCAAAATGCATTCTTTCCCCAAAAATGGGGTTAAAACAACTCACGGATGGTTCTTTTTCAGTTTCACTGTAGTCCATTTCCAGCCAAGTATAGCTCCCAGGGTGAGTGACAAACTCTTTTCGATTGAACCAGTTGTTCTTTGTCTTGTCAAAGAACTTCTGCTCGAATTCAGAAATTGCAGCTTGTTGTGAGATATAGGGCCCATTCAACTTATCTTGACCCTTCACACCAACTCTTCCCCATCTGTAGTAAACCATGTATTTCCCACCATCATCGGATTCTGCAACCAGAATTAAATATAAGAGTACAAGCAAATGACATTAACATGAAAAGGTACAGATTCTCAAATCACTTAAGTGAATAATAGTAGAAAGAATCAGAATTTGTTGATAACTCATTAGTTATTGGTATGGACTTCAAAGAATAGGAATTGAAGCTAAACCTAGAATTTGAATCATATAGAATTTGTTATTGTTTCCCCCAACATTTGTTTGGTTCAACATGGCGTCATAGATTTCATCACCCTGCATTACAAGTTACAAAAGGAAGAAAGAGTCAAACAAAAATGAATTTCTTATTCTTAAAATTGGACTGTAAGCAGAATAGGCACTTCACATCTAAATGGAATTATATTGGCAATCTTTTTTCTACATTTGCAAGAGGGTGAGTCTTACTACTTGCAGCACGTGGAATTGAGCCTTAATATGCTCCGGCAGCCATTTGTCTAATACAGCAGAACCTTTCTTCATTGCTATAACCATTTTCTCCCTGTTGCTTTCCTTTTTGGCTGCTACAAATTTACCACCATAATAATGTCATAAATACATGCCATGTTACAACCTAATATAGTTGTTACAAAATTGATAGAATCTAACTCTATGAACGGTTGTCAGGTGCAGACCAGAAATAGATGAATCAAGCGATATGTTTACACACACGACAGTAGTTCAGAAAAATCAGGACATAAAATCATTAATTACTTCATAAACACTTATATAGCTAAACTTCACAAAACAAATCCCAGTACCTTGATCATTGTCGCCAGAATTCTCATCAACATCTGTGCAGAGCCTTTCCAATATTTCTTTCTTGGTGCCAGCGGTTGAAATCCCTCGAAGAGCGGCTTGTTCACGAAGCTCCTTTACATTCATGCTTCTAAACTCATCAACAGCTTTAATTTTCATTGGTGGATCGCAATCAGAATCTTTAGTGCCTGAATCCCATTGCCTCTTCCGGTTGATATCAGAAACATTGTTTGAATCTGTAGCTTTTTTACTCTCCTCCCGAATTGCCGCTTCTAATCTCCGAACCTGTTGAAAAGACTATTAAAATGAATACACATGACTCCTCTATAATCAATTCAGGTCCCAACACTATCTATTTATTAAAAATTGTGCAAGTGATTTTGATGCCTACACGAACTCTATCTAATGGATTGAGTGACTTATATGCATAAACGAAAAGCTATTGAAAATTTGAATTTATTGCGTTAGAATATCGAAAAATGTTGAAAATGAAAATTGACGAACCAGAGTAGGCTTGGTTCCGGTGGTGCTGAGGTTGCGTTGGGCGAGCTGGGCGCGGAGTTCATCGACTGGGAGAATGCTAATCGCCATTGTTACTTACAGATACACACACGGAAAGGGAAAGTTTTGGGGGGCTTTTGGCGGTGGATGGGGTTCTTGAAAGAGGCGAAGCAGGAGAAAAGACCGTAATGTAAACTCAGTGGCCAGCACGACCCGTTGCCGCGGATTCTTTGCTACCATGTTTCAAAAATGGGTCATGCCACGTGACCAGAAACCTTGCACATCGATTGGCACATTTACTAACATGGGGAGGTCGATATTATTTTATTAACCTGGGATTTATACTTCGATTGTGAGAGATGTGTCAAACAATGTGGTCATTTAACTTAATTCTTCAAAAATTAAGCCCGTGTGCAAATTAAGGCATGTTTGTTTCCCATTATGTAAGAATGAAAATGAAAAATATAGTCGATATGATCTCATACAAAAAACAGAAATTCAAATATGGTGGTTTAATGTGATGGATAATAGTCATATTTTTTATTTTAATGGAGAAAAAATGGGAAACAGACATGGGCTAAGCTATTTTTTAGAAAAATGTATTTTTAGGCTTCGTTTATTTCTCATTTATATAAAAATGAGAATGAAAAATTATTCATTATGAATCTCACATAAGAGACAGAAATTCAAATATAGTGGTTTAATGAGATGGATAACGGTTATATTTTTCATTTTAATAGAAAATAATGGAAAACAACAGGGGCTTAAATTATATTTTGACATTATTTCGATTACATTTTTTTTAATAAAATAATATTAAACATAAATTCAAATTTTTTCTTATTTTTTAATCATACATTTTACATTATTATACTATTTAAAAATGCATTTTGAATCGTAAATTAATAGAGAATGTGTGGTTAAAATTAAAAAATTGATTTACATATAATATTATTTTATAGAATAATATTTGGTTGATAATGAGTTTTTTTTATATATAAAAATTAGAAGAATGAAGCTCAAGCAACCCCTAAATTATTTGCTAGAATAATATTCCCCATAACTTATTCATATAATAAAATATTTTACATATGGCTCCCATTAAATCTCATCAAATTAAGGTCTTGTTTGAACCAATTTTTTTTGCAAAAAAAATATATTCTTAAACAGTGATTTGACATTATTTAAACCACGTATTCTTCAATAAAATAATATTATACTCAAATCCAAATTTTTTCTTTATTCTTTAACCATACATTCTTCACCAATCTATTATTCCAAAATACATTCTTACAAAATAATGTGACTCAAACATAAGGGGCGTTTGTTTTTCATTCTTGTAAAAATGAGAATGAAAAATATAACCGTTATGAGCCTCACACAAGAGATAGAAATTCAAAATTAGTGGTTTGATGTGATGGGTAACGGTTATATTTTTAGAAATTCAAAATTGGTGGTTTGATGTGATATATAACGGTTATATTTTTCATTTTAATGGAAAAAGAATGGGATCTAAATCGAGGCTAAATTAAATTTTTCTCTCTCCTATTTTCAACTACACAACTTTCAATAAAATAGAATTACACGTAAATCGAAAATATTTCATTCTTTTAAAATCATCCATTTTTCAAAAAAAAAAAATATTTTCCCCGTTATAATCAAAATTAATAGGGCTAAACGGGGGACAAAATTTCTTTAAATTTAACCACACATTCTTCAAAAAATATTATTCAAAATTCTTTAATTTCTTTTATAATGAAAAACAAGCGGGCTCTAATTTATTTTCATTTGTTATTTTTTAAATTTATTTATTAGTAAATAAATTAACGGCGTCGAACTGAAAACTAATCCATTTTACCATTTCTTAGTTGGAGTTATCAATAGCATTCCATGTACTCAATTAACATTAAGGGTGCGTTTGATTATAAGTATGAAATTTGTATGAAAGGAAAATAAATTTTAAGTAATTCAATTGCCTAGATCTTATTTACATGGAAATTGTCAATTAAATGTGTTTCATTAATTTAATTTTCAACTTAAAAAGTATTATATTTGTCTGATTTTTATTGGTGGATAGATGAGAGAGAAATAGATAGTAAATTCCCTGGAAAATAAAATTTTATTCCCTCTAAAAAAAATATTTCACTTGATTTTGAGGATAGTCACGTGATTAAAAGTAGAAAAATATTTTTCATGAAAAAAATGTCAGTCAAACAGCACAAAAGTAGAAATTTTGATGAAAAAATATATTTTTAATGAAAAATTTTGATAATCAAATACACCCTGAAAACTTTTCATAGAGACAGTATTCACAGGAGTATTGCAAAACATGTGTGGGCCTTTCGAATGGAAAAATCAAATTCAATGGCAACCACTCAAACCAACCAACCGGCAAGCAGCATAGGTCCCTAAATGGTTGTACCTTGGTCTTCATTTTTCAAACGAGCATTTACATCTTCTATCTTTCAATTTTAGATGTGCATCGTGTACAATTTTACGCTTTATTTTTTTAAAAAAAAATTCTATTTATTTATTTATTTGATAAAAATACGATGGGCAAATAAATTATTTTATGCCTCCTAATAAAATTCTTTTTTACGAGACCTTTATCAAATTCGAAATGTGATAATTATGGTGTGTTTAAGTCACATTTTTTTAAGACTGTTGATCGTTTAATTACTCACAAATGAACGGAATCGTGAACAAGTAATATAGTAGTGTGTAGAGTGTCGAACCTACGAGGACTATGTGTTTGATCCAATTAAAATTAACAATACCCTTAATCGAATAGCAAAATCAAGTTGTGACTAAACAATATTAAATCTAGCAACTAAATTGAAAGCTAAGTAAAAATTTATCAAATACGCGAGAAGTATTACTAAGATGTGAAATCTCCTTTGCTACTCAATTTTTACTTCAAAATTTAAATTGACAATTTGAAATCATGTTTGTTGGTCAATGTTCCTATTTTAATTGAAAACCTCGCTCGATAGTTATCAAATTGATTCCCCTCACGTAACCTTCCTATCTCTCAATGGAAGATACGAACATGATAAATGCATCAAATGAGTTAGAACATCTTTAACAACCATGTGAAGCATAAAAGGTATATTTTTATCCTTTATTGAACCTCATAATATTTATTAACATGTGCTAACAATCTTATTACCTCTCTCGATGATAACAAAATTCACAAACAATTCAATTAATGGCCAAGTAATGGAAAAGCAAGTTAAACCATAATAAACATCCAAGAATTCAAACAAATTTAACGTCAATTCAATTATTCAACCCAAAAATTTAAGACAATAGTTCATCACATCCTAGCAATACTAAAAAGGTTTAGCCGAGCATATTGTCGAAATTAGAAACGCGAAAGTTAAAAGACATCACCAAACTTTGATGGAACGTGATTGAAGTTGACAAATTGAATCTGCCTTTTTTCCTTCTGTAGCCACCCAATGTGTGTCTAATTCCACCAGGTTGGCTCCGGTTCTGGTACGAATAAAATTTCAGCAGGCAGCTCGTTTTCTCTTCTCCTTTATTGTTGCGTGGGAAATTATCAATATATAATATGGAAACCCCCAAATTCAGCCGCCTCTCTATGCGTTTTTTGAAAAGAACACTTGGCTGCCTCTTTCTTCTCCAATACTTCCCCACCAGTTGCTGAATTTCTTTTTCTCCAGCCGCTTCTGCCACCTAATGTGCGTATATATCAATTCAACAGCCGGCCACCTTTTGCATGTATATATATGTGATTCCAAACCCCATGCAACCCTTTATTTTTTTTCCTCCAGAAGCTATAAAATTTTTACTTGGAGAAGAGACTCCCAAATCCAATCGCCGTCTCCTTTTTGGGTATATTTTCAGCCCCTTTTTTATCCCAGCAGTCGCCCTTTTTTTTTTCAGCCAAACTCCCTCTCTTGCAGCCGTTTCTTGTGTGTATATATAGCTATGACAACCTTGGGCAGCCCTATATTCTTGACTCCAATACAAGGCCCAATTATCTCAAAAAATCAGCCACCAACCTTCGTTTTCTGTTGAATCTTTCGCTACATTCAGCCCACCAATTGTTGTGAATATACATAATAGAAAAAAAATAGCCCAATTGTGTAGACGTCTCTCCATATATATAACCCACTTTGAAGTAGAATTCCAATTATTCTTAAATTTCCTGCCGGCCGCCGTGTTGTCCAATTGAGTTCAACTAATTAAAGAATTTGATTCCGAATCCAAGTCCAATGGCTGGCCAATTAATGAATTATTTTTTTCTTCAAGTCCCCAACTTCTACCCAATGGCAAATTTAATTCCTGTGTTTTGGATTTTACTATTTTTCGCCAATTCTTGCTTCTTTCTTTCAACTCATTTTCATTTGTAGAGTTTACCTATCAAAAATAAATTACAACATTTTAGGATATAATTTGTCAAAAGAACTATCAAATATTGCTATTTTACTGCCTCGAATAAATGTATAAAATACACTTATCAAATGTATTTTGGAATAATAGATTGATAGATAGTGTGTGGTTAAAAAAGGAGGAAAAAAATTTGATTTGCGTGTAATTATATTTTAATGAAGAATACGTGGTTGAAAAGAAGATAGAGAAAAATGTATTTTATGAAAAATAGAAATCAAACACCTCTTCAGTAGAATGTTGAAAATAGGAATACCTAAAATTTTGGACATAATATGCCACTGCTTGGGCTCTATTAAAATATATTTTGAAATAGTGATTTTTTGAAAAATGTATAGCTTAAATATAAGGAAAAATTTTAGGTTTACATGTAAAATTATTTTATTATAAAATGTAATATTAAAAGGAAGAGAAAGAAAAATGCATTTTTGATAAAAATGAAACCCGAATGGAGCTATATGAGCAAAAATTCGAGGACCTCAAGAGTAATTAAAATTTGACATAACTAATAAAAACTATGTTCATGTTTGTGCTCCATTTTAATTAAATTTTGGGAAAAATATTTTTGTAATAGTGATTTTTTTAAGAAGAAGTGAGAAATTTTTTTTAGTTTATGTGTAATATTATTTTATTATAAAATATTTTGTTAAAAAGAAAAGAGTAAAAAAAAAAAAGATAATTGCAGCAGAAGTTCCAAACTTTTGAAACACTAACAGACTTTTCTCAAACTTTTAAATCGTTGCAGCCATCAACCATTACCTTTCAAACCAATGCATATGAGGTCATTTTGGATGGTTTTCA